TTAAGATGAGTTCTTAGGAAATTAAGAAAATATTAAGAAATTAAGGTGAATGTTAGGAAAGGTAATTTGGTGGTTTTTGTCCTGGAAAGGGACACTTACGGAGGTTGAGCCGTAGTACTTTAGACCCCTCGGAATTTTCTGATTCTCTGGGGAACAGGAAGTTCAGGCGGTGGGCGAGAGCACCATGACCAGTCGCCAGCACCAGGACTGGGGAACAGTCTATGCTTTTTTACTTAAAAACAAGATCAAACTAAGGGGGAAAGCCTCCACGTTCCGTAGAAACACGAACTGATACACAGGACACGGGTGTATGCTCTTCCGTCTTATAATCCACACGAGGCTGCCTCACAGGGTGGGTCACGCGGCTCGGCTGCTCTCGCTGGGGAGCCCTAGCTGAGGCAACAAGGCGAGAAAAATAAAGGCGCCGGCGGGGCGGGCGGGGGGGGGGGGCAGCGGGAGCATCGACTGCCCACACGCAGGAGATGCACAGAGAAGCTCCCACAGTTCGTAGCCCACGCCCAGCGGGGTTACAGGCAAGGTCATATGCACAATTCAGTTGTATCTCTGTCTACGAGAAATGAACAACTGGAATTCTAATACTTTTTAGCCCAATTTACATTACACCCCAGAAATGAAAGTACTTAAGTTTACATCTGACAACACTGGCAGGATCTGTTCGTTGAAAACTACAAAACTTGTGAAAGAAATCAAACCAGACCAAGATAAACGGGCAGAGGCTGTGCCTTGGAGGGTGTGGCACTCTACGCGTCTGGTCTGTGGGTTCACCCCAGTTCTGGGGACAAGCCCAGCATGAGGTGTGTGCAGATCTCGACAAGTGGGTCTGGTCAGCAAAGCACTTTTGAAACGAGCCAGTTGGAGGGACCTACAGGGGAAGACTCCAGGGACGGAATGAGGACGCTCTGAACCGTGCGGGCGACTCTTGCACGGCTGACGTCTTCCGAAGTGCAGTGCTGAGAAAGTCGAGTGTAATCTATGAGGCTTATCATGAAACTGCCACTGCCTGCCCGTTGTTTCCGAGCCCGACTCCCCCCTTTAAACAGCCTTCCGATGGTTTACCCGCGTGTTTCTAATGGAAACGCCCTCCTGCTGTATTGGGGTATTATCTGTAGGCGTCTGAGGAAGACTGAACCAGGACCCCGTCTGCCCCTGTGGTGAGAGTTTCTGTGTGAAGTTCTATAGAGGAGTATGAACACACGCAGTCACGCACACGCACACGCACACGCACACGTGTGGGTCTTCTGCGAGTGCTGTTTGAGCTGAACCGTGTATGTGCTGACTCCATTCCTTTTGGGTAGTTTCGTTTGTTTCTCCTGAGGTGACCATTGACTGTCTCGATGGCTTCCTTCTCTGTGTGCCTGTCGAGTCGCTGCTGGGATGGGGATGTCAGAAAGTCTGGGTTCTCCCACCCTGCCCGCCTCCAGGGAGCCTTCCAGTCCCGCAGGCTTTGCTGGGCACCACGACCCGGGAGCCCTGCCGCTCCCCCCGAGACGGGTCCTCACGAGGCTGTGGCGCCGCTGGTACCGGGCCTGTCGGCAGCGAGGTCCCGGGAAGCCCGTGTTTGGTTTGGCCCGTGTCTTTATTGTAGAGACGTAGCTCGTGGCATGAATCGCGGGTGATGTCCGGCACTGACGCGTGCTGTGAGCTGCGTGCCGGGCGGCGTGTGGACGGTGGGATGTATGTGGGTGGGGTTGGATGGAGGGAGGCCACGCGTCGTGTCTGTGTGTCTGCCTTTTCCGCGGCAGTCACTGCCCCAGGAAGGCACGCCCGTGTCCTGCTCAGGGCCTCGCCGGTGTCCAGCGTGAGGGCTGACCGTCCAGTTCTGCTCCGTCTGGCTTCACGTCTGCCTCGTCCCGGGGGGAGTGGGCGGGGAGGAGAGGCCCCTTTTCCCTGTTCAACACCCTTTTCAGGCTTCTCTCCTGCCGCCTGTCCCTGTCTCGGGGAGTCGGGAGCGGTCACTGGACACTCCCTGTCGACTTCCTTCTCTGGACGCTTGCATCCCAGCTGTGCTCCGCCCTTCTGAGCCCTGACCATGGAGCCAGCTTCTCGGCCAGCTCTCTGCTGCAGACCCTTCCCTGCCTTTGACCCCATCGTTTCAGCTGCCTGTGGGCATGTGCTGAAGGTGCCGTGTGACCGGAGGCGACTTTGTCCTCGTGTGGGATGCCCTCCCTGCCGTGCACTTGACAGCAGGTTTCCGGCTGGTTTGCAATCACTGCCCCCCCCCCCCCCCCAGTGGAATGATGTACACAAAGCGAGGAGAGCATGGGTGCGGCGGGTCTGCTGCACGGAGCCAGGGCTCCCACGTTATGGAACCTGGTATCATCAGTTGCTATCGAGGGAACAATAAGGCAAGAAAATGGTTTCTCGTTGAATTCACAAGGTTCATGCTTTACAAGTGTGAGAAATATGTTCATGTGTGGTGAATCTGAAATACCCTCCTGTCAGGGCTGTGACACATGGGGTGCACCCTCTGTACCCCTTCAGTTCCATCCCTGCTTTGCTTGGCTTCTTAGTGACTTCCTGTCACATATCTGATGGGAAGTACGTTGGGTTAACTTTTTATTTTTAAGGTCACTTATGGTCCTGACTGTGGTCTGGCAGAAGATACTGTCTCTGTTTTGAATACGGAGGTAAAGATCAGTTTGGCTGGTGAAGGTACTAAGGAAAAGTGTGTACTTCTTTCTGTAGTATATTTCTCATTTGATTTCCTTACAGTGGAACCTATTTCCTGTTATCTCTGTAAATATTCATTCTTTGAGTACACAGAGAAATGAAACAGTTCACTTACCAAAGCTGTGCTGTCGATGCCCTAGGCTTTATTTCCATAACATTTAGAGGGCCCAGCTCAGAGAACAAGTTTCCCCAGAGGCTTTTGAACCCGGTGGCATTTTTGTGTGGCTTCTACTTGAACTCAGTGCCACTCTGGCTCTGGCTCTGGCGCTCCTGGCCTCCTGCTGGCCACGCTGCCTCCTGTCCACGCTGAGCCTGGGTCCTGGGCTGAGCATGTGACTGTGAGGAACCACGCAGCGAGCGTGTTCTGTCAGTGGCCGTGGCCGATAAAGTCAGGAACACAGTTGTTCTGAGTGTTTAACCACCCAGAGAGAGCGGGGAAGCATGGCTCAGGGTCGAGTTTCCATACTTATCCAACCTCCTTTCACTGAACTTCCCAAGTCTTTTTTTTTTTTTAATGCTGGTCAGGCAGTGAAAACCAGGGACAACCAACAAGCGGCCTAATTGGCAAAGTGCTGGCGGCCTCACAGGACCACCTGGAGGCGGAGTGGGTCCCGAGCACACAGCCTGCGCCCCCGCTCCCACGGAGGCCGGCACCCTGGGCCTGCTGCCCCCAGGCCGTGGAGGGCCCAGCCCGGGAGCGCGCTGCTGGCTGTTCTCCTGATCCTCTTGCTCCGAGCCGAGGCCCCCAGCACACGGGGAAAGAAACAGCATCTCTCATGCCTCCCCAATGGCCCCCCCATCTTCCTACCCTTCTTCTAGAGCACCCCCACTCCAGCCGGAAAAGGGGCCGTCTTGGCTGGAGTCCTCTCTCCGCTGGCGTCCCCTCCCCCTTGTCTGCTGAGCTCCGTGTAAACGTCAGCTCGTGGCCGACCCTTTCTGGGTTCTCCTAGACCAGGGTGGGGAGCCTCGCGTCCATGGGTCTCAGGCCCAGGAAATCGTTTGGTCTGGCCCTGCCGAGTTCATTAAATGTTGGACCAAGTCAGTTGCTAATGTTGTGTGGCCCAAGGATGATGCTGTAAATCTCCCAACGGCCCTTGGCGAGAAAGGTTCCCCACCCCTGCTAGGCAGCCATTTGGCTTCCCTTCTGGGTTCCCACGGCCTGTGCTGGAGCACCCCCTGTGGTCCGCCCCCCCCCCCCCCCCGCCTCCCACGGAGCCTGGCCTCCTCGGGGTCTGGGTGTATTTCCAGGACCTGGCGTGGGATCCTGTTCATGGTCACAGATGAGCGATATATGAGCCAGGAAAGAGCTGTGGGTGACTCCACGTGTCTGTCGGGCCCAGGCCAGTGCTGGGGGTAGCATTCGGACCCCGTGCCCTGTGCCCGACCTCCCTGCCACACGCACTTGCGCTTAGAAACAGCGTGGCTGTCCAGTGTGGGTCGTGCTGGCTGTGCTGGCAGGAGGGGATGCTTCAGGCCGGCTCCCGTAGATGGTGCTGAGCTGTAGGAACTCCCAAAGGGAGGCTTCCGCCCCATCGCCAGCAGTTCAGCCACAAGGACGTAGCTCTGTGCAGCCACTGCGGGAAGAAGGGATATCAGACGTGGCGTGACTGACACGTGCGTTATGTGGTGACTCCGGTTGTGAATCCTGCCGGAGCGTAGAGACAGGCTGGAGGGGTTCGGTCACAGAGCAGACGGCGCCCGAGCCTCGGGCGTTGCTGAATCAAAATGAAAACGTCGTTTTGATTGTTTGAATGAGTGGATTCAGATGCTGCAGCTGCTGGAAGCGTGTTCATGAGCTACGTCCTCTTCACAGTCGGGGAGTCTCACGTGTGCTCCGGGGAACTTCTGAAAGTCAGACGATGTTAGGAACAGTCACACACCACGGGGCTGCTGCATACGTTTAGGCCTGTGGCCTGTCTTCCCCTAATTTGTGTGCCTTTCTTTTTAATAAGACTGGAAACACTTCCTGAGCATCGTCCGCCTGCCCCCTTAAGTTGGAAACGTGTCGCCTTAAAGAAACGTCCTGGTCCGGGTCCAGGAGCAGGGTGGTCTCTGGCCGTCCTTGGCCTCCATGGGACAATAGCCCTGGCGTCCAGTCAGCACGCGACGTCACCTGGCCAGGCCCTTACCCGTGTGCCGTGTGTGCAGCTGGAGGTGCTGGGGCCCTTTGGGGTGCAGCACACGCCTGCTCCGATCTGGGGGTGCACTCGCCGCTGGGTTTTCCTTTTGCTCGATCTTCGAGATGGCTTGTTATTCACGCAGAATATTTAACATAAATATTTGAAATGCTGCTTTCTGTGCCGTTGCAGGTCCTGTGGTCTTTGGAGCTGGGTCACTGGATCTCTGAGGAGCCCTTCGAGCTCTCCGACTCCTTTCCTGCCGCTCCGGTGAGTCACGCGTTACTTTGTGGTGGAGCCACAACTACAATTTCCTGAGAAACTGTTATTAGCGAAGCTGAGGGCTCAGATGTTTATTAAATCAGAACACTTATGCCCATAACTAAAAAAACTTAAAACATCCACAGAACTGAATACTTTTTAATCTGTTTATCTGTGAGAACAAATGTGAAAATCTTTGCAAAAAGTTTTGAGAAATGCATTCTCAAAAAGTCTTAATTATGGAGCCCTCGGGACTGAGAAACAAAAGTGAGAAGGCGGGGTCTTGAAAAGGAACTCTGTATCTCGCTCGCAGCTTTGAAAGGTGATGCTGTCGCTGCCCGTAGAGACAGAACTGATCGGTGTGAAAACGTGGCCTCCTGCAGTGTGCCGCGGCTTTGTTTTCCCGTTTCCCTAAACTCCCGATGGATGGGTAGGCTCCGGGGCCTGGTTTCCGAAGGCTGAGGCCTGATCCCGCAGGTGGTCTCGGGCGGCTGGGGAGCAGGACCGCGCAGCTGTCGACTGGTGTGTGACGGTTTGTTCACGCAGAAGGTTATGACCTGGAAGACGGACGGCGATGGTCTCGGCACCAGCCTTGGTGCGTTTTGGCCGCTCGAGTGTTTGGGGTGATGATCACGTGACAAGACATTGCCCTCTGCCCTGAATCGCTGTGGCTCTCAGCTTGTTGGGTTGTTTTGTTTTCATTTGTAAGATGACTGCTTTGATTTCCTGTCAACTTCATAAATGTTTTCTTAAGGAGAGAAAAATGTCCTCTCGGCGCGGCCCTTTGACATCCATGTAAGGAAGTGAAGCGTAGAGTCACGCACCAGGTCCCCTCCGCACGAGAGTACGGGCAGCCCCGCGTGCGCCGGGCGGGTCGCCGTTAAATGCGCCTGACCCACCTGCCTGCGTGGGCGAGCCGTGTGCGTGGTGGCGTTGCCGGCCTCTCCCGTGTCGGCCTCCCCTCGCTCTGCCGCGGGCTCACTGAGACCTGGAACGTGCTGCCCCTTCCGGCCGTGTGTCTCATCGATGCTCTCACCTCCACACAGGCGGGCGCCTCTGATGGGCTATAAAGCCTCACGCTGGTCAGAGGGACGGAGCGAGGAGCGCGCCCGACCGGCCGGTCTGTGATGAGCTGCGGGGGCAGGCGGCCTGTGGGGCCACAGCAGTTAGAGAAGAGCACGGACTAAGGGACACGGCGGTGGGGGACGGAAGAGGGTGAAGACCCGTGAACAGTGGCTGGTTGTCCAGCTGGCTGAGCTGCCTGGCAACTGGGTGGAAACCAGATGCCCGAGGGCCTCGCAGCTCAGAGCGGCCGTGCTCACCGTGGGGCAGCTGCCGCGTCAGACCTGGTCGGGGCCTGGGTGCGGCCTGGGCGAGCGACTGCGAGGTGAGCACCAGATTTCGGTTTTGTGCGTCAAAACCCCTTTTTCAAAGTTTCCTGGTAGACATTTGTAAATACCGTACTAATACAGATTTCTTTTTTCCTGAAATAACTTAAGGAGGGCGTTTAGCTCGAGCGGTACAGCTTCGTGCACGCCCCACGTCTGGGCTTCCCCTCCTCGGCCTGCCCGCCCCGCAGGGAAGAGCCCCCGGGGGGCTGGTGGGTGAGGGCGGGTCTGTCCTGAGAGGGAGAGTCCTGGTCAGGACGCACGGCCGTTGATTTGGAATTAAATGGGATTGTAAATATTATCATGAAAGTTCAATGTCGTCATCTCATAAGTTATATTTAATTACTAAAATAACTTCATAGTTAACAGGCAGCAAAAAAAGTAGTACAATCTTTACATAAAATAAAAGAATACATCCTGGGAATTTCTCCGTATAAACTTGACATGTGTTTTTGAGCATTAGCTTAGAACTAAGCTGGCGACGCCTATGCAAATACGCTATTTTCAGATGAAAATGTAAAGCACCCAAGAGGAGGGCAAAGACACTGTGACCCTCCCAGGGAGCCCCTGAGTCTGTGCACGGGGTGGGGCGTGGGTGCAGCCAGACGACCCCGGAGCCCAGAGCTGTTTCCAGTTATTCACTGATGTGCTTGACACGGTGTGACACGGAGCCCGCGAGCCACCTTCTCATTTGCAGCTTAAGCTCATCTGCGCAGACGCCTGCAGGTCACGAGGTGAAGGTCGGGCTGTGCTGGGGTTGCCAAGCAGGGCAGGTGTCCGTGGGGAGTTTCGAGGGCTCTGACTCAGGCCCCGGGCATGTCCCTCTGGGGTGGAGGGACGACGCAGCTGTGTCCCCTGGGTTCAGGTGGAGGGGTACCGCAGGCGCAGGCCTCAGAAATCCGCAGGCCGGATCATCATGGCCGTGGCCTTGAGCGAGTAGCCCGAGCCCTTCCAGTAGTACCACTTGATGCCGTTGAACCTGTTGGTGCTCTGCCTCTGCGGGTAGTACATTCCGTTCAGGTTGGAGGGGCCACACGCGTCGAACCACCAGCCTGTGAAGTGCAGCAGAGGGTGAGGATGGGCCACCCTCCCGGGAGCAGCACCCGCCGGTCCACGCGGCACACTCACTGCATTTTACGTGAGGGTGTCCTGAGTGCCCTGGGTGGGGCCGCAGAAGGGAGGGTGCCCCCTGCACTGTGAGCGGGGCTCGGACAGGCTTCTCCCCTTTGCTCTGGCTCTGGGAGGGGAGGCCACGGCCACGCACGGGAGTCAGAACATCTGGACGGGGACACCAAGGCCTCGGGGTGGCTCTCGGCAGCCACACCCTTTCCAGTTCCCCAGCTCAGTGAACTGGACTGATCCAGGCTCCCCCCGCCCCCTGAGAAATTCTTTTTGTTTAAAATATAACCCCAAGTTTTAAGTGTCCAGTGGAGCTAGATAGAAAAATTTAAGGCCGTAGCAGTGCTAGCTGGGTGAAGCTGGGTGAGTGTGTGGCACAGCGGGGGCTGGGTCCCCATCCGCACCCAGTGGCACCCAGTGCCTGGCACCTGCTCTCACCCTGACCCAGCCCACAGGTGCCCAGGTTTGCAGAGAGGGCGTGGTTCTGAGTAAATCCTGAAACATCGTGTTGGAAGGACAGAGAGAGTGATGCCATTTATATGAAACTAAGACACGGAAGGCGGGAGCGTGGCTGTTGGTGTGAATGAACCTCACGCAGTGTTTGCTCGGGCGGGGTTGGGGCAGGGGCTGTACTTGTAGCTGGATGTTTTGTTTCTTTGGAAAATACTCTGGTGCAGTGTTTACATTGTTATGTTCTGCGATGTGGCCCCGGGACTGAGTCACCTGTCCGTGAGTTCTATCCTGCGGGAGCAGCTCCAGGTGGACAAGCGGAAAGCGAGCGTCTCCCGCGGGCAGGCCTGTCTATGGATGTGGATGTTGTCATCTCCCGGCCGGTGCAGGGCCCTCGCCCACACAAGCAGGAAGGGCCTACCTCCCGTGAGCATCTGCGCACACTTGCAGATGCACCGGTCCTTGTCCGCGTCCTTGGTGCTGAAGTCGCTCCCCGGCTGGCTGATGCTGCTGATCTTGCCGGCCGACCCCGTGAGGCCCTTCAGGTGGATCCTGGGGGCACGGAGGGGAGAAGAGGGGGGATGAGCGGGGGTTTGTGTCGCCGAGGAACACTTCCCACAAAGAAGCCGTTCTGCCCAAGGGCGCCGGGCCCGCTGTGCCCCAGCAGCCTGGACCGAGCATTCCCACCGGAATAAACAGGAACCCGCTTATCGTCAGGTCCCTAGGCAGAGCGTGTTTGGGGAAACCTGCCGCGGATATCACTGGCACAGGCCTCAGCGGGACTTGGGCCCTTCCACTCATTTTCCTGCCGCTCTGAGATAAACAGGAAGGGGGCTGCGCGTGGGGGGGGAGGAGGGGGGCTCTGTCCAGGTCTGCAGGCTTCACCCAGACAGGACCGCGTCGTGGTGACGGGACGACCTCAGCACCGTTGTCGGTGGGAGTGGGCGGGAGGCCAGCAGGAGCGAGCAAGGGGCACTGGGTCTAGAGCAGAGCCACAGCACCGAGAGGCAGTCGAGTCCTCGTGCTGCTGTGCCCGGTGTCTGTGCAGTCGGTCAGGCACCCGCTGGGCACTGGGGAAGGAACAGAGGTGCTGACCCGCGAGACAGTGGGCACGGCCCCTCCTGTCAAAGGCAGCAGCGTCTGGCTGGCCTGTGCCTATGCTGGGAGGGAATGGGACGCGGAGGCGGTGGGCAAACCCCCTTCAGGGGAGCCGTGGGCGGAGGCTGGCCGGGGGCCGAGAGCAGGGTCCACGTGCTGGGTGGGGTGTGGAGCCTGGGCACCGGGTCTGCCCGTCCTGGGGTCCACGGCACAGACCCTGCGAAGCCGGAGGGAGGACCGCACTCCAGCTCCAGGTGACGGCGTCCCTGACGCCCGCTCACGCCCACGCGTTTGCCAGCCACGACCTGGGAGATTGTTTCCAAGAACCACATTGGGACGAGGGTGGAGAAGGGATGGGTCAGGGACCGAGTGACCAGGCTCCGCCAGGCCCTCCCGCGAGCGTCCACACCGCACAGCCCGAGAGCCCGCGCTCCCGTCTCCACACACGGGTGGTTGTGGTTCCGGGTGGGACTCGTCGTGGAGCAGGGCGGGCCCGCACGCCTCAGGGTCCCAGGCACACACTCCTCCGGGGGGGGGCTGTTCACTGAGGCGGCGGCCATGGAGGCCGGGCGGGAGCCTGTCCCATGGAGTCCAGGAAGCGCTGGTCCCGGCACCTTTGTGTGAGTGACTTAGATTTCAGAGTTTTTAGATGTGGCAGCTCTGGACACACGATCATAGGCATTGACTGAATTTCCGAATTTCAGTGTTAACCTGTTTCCAAGGTGCCCTGCACGGCCCCCATATGGTCCCCGCACGGCCCCCGCACGCCTGCCACACGGCCCCTACATGGTCCCCACATGGTCCTCGCACGGCCCCCGCACGCCTGCCACACGGCCCCTACATGGTCCCCACATGGTCCTCGCACGGCCCCCGCACGCCTGCCACACGGCCCCTACATGGTCCCCACATGGTCCTCGCACGGCCCCCGCACGCCTGCCACACGGCCCCTACATGGTCCCCACATGGTCCTCGCACGGCCCCCGCACGCCTGCCACACGGCCCCTACATGGTCCCCACATGGTCCTCGCACGGCCCCCGCACGCCTGCCGCATGGCCCCTACATGGTCCCCACATGGTCCTCGCACGGCCCCCGCACGCCTGCCGCATGGCCCCTACATGGTCCCTGCACGGCCTCCACATGGCCCCCGGCACGGCTGCCGCACGGCCCCTACACGGTCCCCGCATGGCCCGGCACGCCTGCCACACGGCTGCCCCATGGTCCCCGCACGGCCCCCGGCACGCCTGCCACAAAGGCTCGTGCAGGCCCTGCTCGTTGCTGGTTTCAGGCCCTGGGTTTCTCGCAGGCCCTCTCCTCAGCCTCCCACAGCCTGAGGCTGCCGCCGCCTCCTCACCCTCCTGCCTCCCCAAAGGGGAGCAAACCGGGAGGGCTGTGCTTTTGACTGTCTCTGAGACTCGTCTCTGTGAGACTCGCAGGTGGGGCCACGGCAGGAAGTCGCTTTCTTCTGGCCTTGGGATTGGAGGACTCAGCTGCTCTGCTGTCCGTCCCTTTCGCGGAGCAGAGGAGTGAAGGCGGAGGGACACGCAGGTCACATGACATCTCCGTGTCCACGGAACTGCCTCAGGGCCTGACCAGTGGCCAGTGATAAAGTTTAATGTGCAAATAGTTTCAGTTTTAGTAAAAGAATTGTCTTTTACTGGTGCGGTTTTCAGTTTTCTGCCATTTGGGGACCATACATTGCAGCTTCCGTGGACGGGTGCCTTTCTGAGCCATCGGCAGTTGTTCTGATAAAACGAGGCATGTTTCACCGGGACGGTAATGTTTTCAGGGTGACCTCTGTCTCATACTGCCAGCGCGTTAAACTGTGCTTTAAACAAACGCGCGCTTTATAAAACGGCACATTCAGAAATGGAGTTACATTTCTAAAGGAAATATCTGTTATGAACCAACTCAGATTAAAACATTTTTATAATGTCAGCATACGAGGGTAATGACCCGTTTTCTAAAATCTTATATAAACAGTCTAATCCTTAATTTCTGTGTTTCTTTTTTTAAATTCCTCTGTTGTAGATTCCTAACTGTTGCCAGTTGACAAAATATTTAGCTTGGAGGTAAAACAGTGACCAACCACTGGTGTCTGAACATTCCTCGAGGCTTCGATCTTTGGAGCGTCCTTGGTGGGGGGTGAGGCCCGACACCTGTCTCGCCGCTGCCCGAGGGGGGCAGGCTCTCCGGGAGCCGCTCTCCCTGTGGGCCTGTGGACTGTCCAGGACTCCCGACCGCGGTCAGCGCTGGCTGGATGTCACTTGCCTGCTTTCGGGCGTGTCTCTGTCTCTGCTGGGCCCTTTACAACGCACCAGGTTGGGGGAGGGGGCAGCGCTGAGGAGCTGCACGGCCCCGCATGGTCCCCGCATGCTCAGCTGCTGGCCGTCCCTCCCCTGGGAGCCAGCTCGGGCCCGAGACTGTCCTGGTGGCAGAGGGTGTGAGCCGCCCCGGCAGGGTTCGCGTGGGGCTGTGCCAGGCAGTGACGGTTCCCGTGAAGTCCCCTGCACGTGGTTTATCTCCGACCTCAGCGTGGGCGGTGCACGTGGGCTGCGTGGTTGGCACTCACCCCCAGTCTGCCTGCCAGGCTCCTTGGGGCGTGGGGTTGGCTGACATCCACAGGGCCCTCAGACCAGCTCCTGGGACACTCCTGCAGGTCCCCCTCTCCCTGTTCCCATCACGGGCACATTCTGAGTCCTTAGGAACCACACACCCATAAGTGCCTTCTCTGCAAGCCCCACCCACCCACAGAGCCTCACCCGCCCGCACAGCCTCACCCACACAGCCTCAAGGTCCTGGCTCTCAGAGCCCCTGCTGCCCTTCGGCTCTTACCGCTTTTAGAGCCAGAGAGAATTCTGGGCCGTGGTTGCCCTGTTTCTCAGAGCGTTCAGGATTAGTGCCACCAGCTGGCGTGCAAGGTAATGTGAGGGGCAAGGGAGCCGTAGCAGAGCGCTGCAGGGGTGACTGCCCACCGTCCCCCCAATTCTGCACTTTTGAACTTGGCAGGCACCCTGACCTTGGGCTGAATCATACAACTTGGTGTGTTTAACCTGCAGAAGACAGAGTGGTCTGAAAGCCTTTGGTGAATAATAAAACCGCCCTAGGTGTGTGATGTAGGACGCCGTCCTGACTGCCCTGTAGGCCACACTCCACGCCCACGGAGGGTGTCGGTGCCCGGCACCTGCCAGGCGCGCCGCTGGCTCCTTGCAGACAGAGAGCAGGGACCACAGACAAACCCTGTCCTCACAGCGGCCCCTGTCGGAGAAGCCCCCGGAACAGGGCGAAGAGCTCTAGGAAGCAGAGGTGTTCTCGGGGTGGCCGGACCCGTGACCACAGGGAACGGCACCAGCAAGTCCTCACCTGTAGTTGAGGTCCTCGCCCGAGAGGGAGAAGTGCTCGTACAGGGCCTGGGCCTCGTTCCCCTCCCAGTCAGCCAGGCGGATCCTCAGCACGTAGCGCTTCTGGGCGGTCACCTGGGAGACAAACTCGTTCCCCAGCCAGTGCTCGCCCGCCGGGTTCCCGAAGCCCTGCAACCCGAGCGGGAAGTCAGTCCCCGTGGCTTCCCCGTGGGCTCCCCTGTGAGGGCTTCCCTGTGGGCTTCCCCGTGGGCTCCCCGTGAAGGCTCCCCCGTGGGCTCTCCTATGGGCTTCCCTGTGGGCTCCCCTGTGGGCTTCCCCGTGGGCTCCCCTGTGAGGGCTTCCCTGTGGACTCCCCCGTGGGCTCTCCTATGGGCTTCCCCGTGGGCTTCCCTGTGGGCTTCCCCGTGGGCTCCCCGTGAAGGCTCCCCCGTGGGCTTCTCCGTGGGCTCTCCTGTGGGCTTCCCCGTGGGCTCCCCTGTGGGCTTCTCCGTGGGCTCCCCTGTGAGGGCTCCCCTGTGAGGGCTCCCCTGTGAGGGCTTCCCTGTGGGCTTCCCCGTGGGCTTCTCCGTGGGCTCTCCTATGGGCTTCCCCGTGGGCTCCCCTGTGGGCTTCCCCGTGGGCTTCCCTATGGGGTTCCCCGTGGGCTCCCCTGTGAGGGCTTCCCGTGGCTTCCCTATGGGCTTCCCCGTGGGCTCCCGTGTCTGAGCTGAGTGACCCCTCCACCTCCCTCCCGTGCAGCGACCTCAGATGTCACTGTGCTGGGAGACGTGGGGTCCTCCAGAGAAGAATGGGGCCCGGGCGAGGCCAGTGTTAAGGAACTGAGCTGCACGGGAGGGAATTCGTGCTGGGGCAGCGGCTGGTGTGTGGACAGCGAAGCGCACCAGACAGCGGGCTGGCCAGCCACGAGCTGCCCGGACGCGAGCCCCGTGCTCACGCGCTCTGTCTCGCGGCGTGGCCCACACTGTACCGACAGGGCTGGTCTTTAATGGGGGGTGGGCGAGGGGGCGGACACACCCGGTAACACAACCCTTTGGTTAAAAACTTGTCCTGAGTCATTGGTTGGTTTGCGTTTGTGGTGCAAGTTGTGCGGGTCTGGAAAGTTACTTTCACAAAGAGATTTCCAGGTGGCTCAGTGACTGTTCATACCGCTTTGTACTCGTTCCACGTCCTCTGGAAGTCCACGCTGCCGTCCTCTCGTCGCTGGATGAGGGTCCACCCGCCCCCAGAGGACTCCATGTCGCAGTAGGCCTGCAAGGGAAGGGCGCGGTGACGGGTGTGCGGGTGCGACTGGGTCTCCTGCTAAATGTGAGGAGCGAGGTTCGTGTAGGTGCCCAAGAGCATGTGCTGGTGGGTTCTTTGGGGTGAATCTCATGGTCTTCCAAGAAACAGATGGTTTTAAGTGAATTGAAAGCCATGACTTAAAAGGACGAAGGTGAACAGTGATACTACGCAGGCTAGTGATGGATGAAGGGATGACTGTCCTGTTTTAGGCGAGACGCACCAGCTGCTGACGCGGAGCGCCCTCCTCGGAGCCGCTGTGAGGGGCATCGCAGGCGGCCCCGCCCTCTCGCCTCCCCCCTGCAGACGTGCATGGACCCATCCACGTCCCTGAAAACCTTGGTGACGGCAGCCAGTCCCTGCACCTCTGCAGGAGGGATGGAGGGGTCCTCGTGCAGTTTGGGTTCCCAGGACTCCCGTGATATGGTGTGTCCTGGGGCCACCCCGCTTCCCCACGTGGGGTCAAGACTGTCGGCCGTCCCTCAGCATCAAGCACCAGGGGCCTGAGGGCCACGTGCTGGCGTGATCCAAGTGTGGCCTGGCCGCTTGCCTCCGACTCGCGCCAGGCTCTGCCCTTTGCTCACTGCCCGGGGCACCCCCCACCCCTCTCCCCCAGCGCCTCTCAGCTCTGCTGCCACGCCGGCTCGCGGGTTTAAACTTTGTCAGAACGGAATTCTTTTGGGGATGGGAGCATGCATGCTCCATTTCAACTCAGCTGGAGGTTTCTTATGAAACTAAAACCCCCTGAGATAAGATCACAAAAGAAGCTCTAAATAATGAGATTATGGTGGAACGAAACGTTTTCCTGAAAATGAAGAGAAACTCCCTGCAGCATACCAGGTAGTAAATGTGGAAGTTAAGGTTCAGAACAATGAGGAATAGTCTTGCTTTGATGTTTTCCACGGCCCTTTCGGTGATGATGGCGAACATTTTGACAGGCAGGTTTAAACGTGCTGCTCTGTGTGCTAAACTCCCAGCGAGCTGGGCTGGAGCACCGGGAGGCCCTGGGACTCTTCCACGTGAGGGCTGCCTGCGCCGGTGCCTCCTCCCTCTCCCAGCCTCTCCCTTAGGAAACAAGTCCATTGCAAAGAAAAATGCAGCCTCGCCTGCTAGGTCAGCGGGTGGAGTGTTGGTCGCAGACGGGAGGGTTGTGGATTGGACTCCGGCCAAGGGCACACGCCTGGGTTGCAGGCTCATCCCGGCCCCGTCAGGGCATATACAGGAGGCAACCAGTCGATGTGTCTCTCACATTGATGTTTCTGTCTCTTCCCCTCCCTTCCTCTCTCTCTCTAAAAAATCAATGGGAAAAATATCCTTGGGTGAGGATTAACAAATAAAAAAAGAAAATTCGTCTTATCTATGCATACATGCATATGCACATACATATACATATGTGTATGTGTATGATGTATATGTGTGTGTACATACATATATATATACACAGGCCTAATATGCAAATTTTCCCCTAGAATTCAGGAGACCGGGAGTTCAATCGCTCGCTATGACATGTGCTGACCACCAGGGGGCGGCGCAGAATGAAGGAAGGTCCAAGCCGGCAGCCGGAAGGCCCCAACCGGCCCTGATCCCCGGCCAGGCCTAGGGACCCTACTTGTGCACAAATTTCATGCACCGGGCCTCTAGTTAAGAATAAAGTGATTTCCCATATTCAGGTCATTGGACATTAGACTTGATCTGCTTGCGGGAACCCCTCGCCCTGGGCTGCAGCACCTTGTTCATTATGGCTGCCGCTGGGCACACCTGTGCAGAGCTCCGTGGAGCCCCTGCTCCCGTTATCCAGCCAGACAGCGGCTCTGCGAGGCTGTTCCTGCTCCTATTCTCCAGCCAGACAGCGGCTCTGCGAGGCTGTTCCTGCTCCTGTTCTCCAGCCAGACAGCGGCTTGCGAGGCTGTGGCTGCCTCTGAAGTGGAGGAGGTGTAGTTGGGTCCAGCCGTGAAGTGGGACACAGGACTGTCATGGACTATTGTCCACCTCACGTGGCCCCAGAAATGGGGACGTGGCCCAAGGCCCCGCAGCAGGTCTGCGTCGACGTGGGTCCGTACACAGTCCTCTCCTGTTTGCTGGGGGCCAGGGCTCGGCCACTCATGTCCGTCGTGTGTCATGTAACACCCACCGGGTGAGCTCGCTGCACATGCTGCCGGCTGCGAGGCTGTGTGTGCGCAGAGATGTGGATCCCAGACCCGCCCCCGGGCCGGGCAGGTGGTTGGCCCTCACTGCGCCTGCCCTGTTACAGGGTGGGGTCCTTTGGCGCCCACCCTCCGTTCGGAAGTCACTGGGTCAAGTCACAGCTGTCCATCTTGGTTTGGAAATCAGAGCCGAGCCTCTGGGACGGGGAGGGTCCCTGCGTGTGCGTGAGCCATGCAGCCCCGGTTCTCTGACGCCCGAGACTTTGTCCAGGTTTCCAGGAACAGAGCTCATGGAAAGCGAAGTTATTGTGGCCAATTAGGTCATGAAACTGTCAGAGTCATCCACGCAGCCAGCGGCACTGGGGGATGCGGAGCAGGTGACAGAGGGTGGGAAGCAGGCTGCTCAGAATGCCGGCTCTGAGCTGGAGGGCTCTGCAAATCCTCGAGCAATTGCAAGATAATGGTCAGCCTGCGGTCACGGTACGGGACCCACTGAACAGCTCACAGCACACAGACAGGGATCCCGTGAAATTGGAAGGAAACTGTTCGTCTCCAACTAGCAGACACTGCAGTGCTTTCCATTCCGCCACCCTGAGCATCTGTACCGAGACCCCGGGCATTTTCAGAAACGAAGTTGAAATATTTAGGCCGCTTTGGAAAAGATCTCCCAGAAATCTCCTCAGCGTCCATCGCTGGAATGAGCTGATACAGGGCAGAGTGGGGTGCCCGCCATGCAGGCAGCTGGCGGCCTGGCGGCTGAGGGCACTGCCGGGGTAACAACTCCCGTCTGTGGGATGGGCGGTGAGCACCAGCCCCGGCCTCGGGGGGAACACGTTACAGGTCAGGAACCGGAGCTCGTCCAGCTGCAATGACGGACTCAGACACAGACAGGCAGAGCCAGGATCTCAGCCCACATCTGTCGCCACAGTCTCAGGCTGGAAGGGAATCTAAGGCACTCACCTGGACCGTTTCAGAGAAAAGGAACTTGAGAAAGAAGGCTGTTCCCTGCCATGGGCCTGAGCGACTGCTAATGTTTGAAAGGAGCACCCATCCTCATACTTCCAGCCGTCACGCCTCCCCCCTCCCGGCCCTCACGCCTCCTCCTGCCGGGCGTCTCAGGTTTTCCCCTGATGCACTGCATCTAGGGCACCGGGACATAGCTGCTTCCAAGGCTGATTGAGAGCAGAGTGCACGCCTTCTCACGTCTGTGTGCCGAGGCAGGTGTGTGCAGGGGCAGGTGTGTGCGGGGGCAGGTGTGTGGCGGGGCAGGTGTTTGCCGGGGACAGGTGTGTGCTGAGGCAGGAGTGTGCTGAAGGCAATGTCTGCTCACCTGCACACCTGGCTGTGCTGGTCCCAGAGAACAGCCCTGGGGGAGGGAGGAGGTGTGGCCCCTGAGCCTTTGGGGTGCCCCATTGATACTTGAAGTAACTACTGAAAGGGGAACTGTGGCTGTTCATTGGGAGGTGTTTTCTTTAAACTTAATGAAAGGGTGTCACACTTCAAGGAAGACAGCAGACAAGCCGGAGGCCAGGAGAGGGGAGTGAGAAGGAGCAGCGCGCCGTGCGGTCAGCGCGGACCTGGAGCCCGTGGGACGGGCAGAGTGCCCTGCCCACAGCTGGGGGACCCGGGGGAGCCCTCACCTTTGTCTCCTCCGTGGAGTTGGGGAAGGTCAGCGTGTAGACGCCGCTGGTGGTCAGGCCGGACTTGAAGGCCTCCGCGCAGTCTCGGAAAGTGACTTGCTCCTCCTTCGCGGCCGGGGCCGGCCTAGCTGCTTCCAGAGATACAAGAGCGTTTACGTGGGGCTCGTGGCAGATGGAAGGTGGGTTCCGAGAGGCACTCCTTTGGGGAGTTTATTACGGTTGAATTCTCACAGTGAGTAGGAAGGATGTGCTGGTTTTCCACCCTTTCCAAAAACCTTACTCTTGCGGCCTCAGTGATCATTACCTGCAGACCATGCTCCCTGCTTCATCATCAGCTTCACCATCAGCTAGAACAAACTATTACTTTTCAAATTCTTCCATCTTGAGTAGAACCAGATACAGTTATTACAGGAGAATAAAAGAACATGCCCCAAGCAGTGTACCTGCCAGGGCTGCACGCATCCCTCAGCCCTCACCCCATGTTAGCTGGGATGAGCAGAGCAGAGAGTCTGGGCCTTTAGGAAAAGAACACTTTTCCTAAATGGCACGAGTTTGAAACTAGCTGGAGGCCGGGTGTGGTACCCTGGCCCCGTGAGAGACCTGGCGCTGAGCATCAGGTTAGTCCTGTGTCCCTGTGTTTGCGTCCTGGCTGAGTAGGATCCTTGTCTATGTGCTTCTGCTGAAATGTGGGTGTTAGAGGAGGGAGCAGCGTTACCCAGTGACTGACAGTGTCTCCTTCAGTCTTCACACAGCCCTCGGGGTGAAGACATTACCCTGCCCAGCCTCATATATCCAGCAATTGATGGAATTAACTCATAGGCTCTGTGAAGCCCATGGATCAAAAGTATGTTTGGGATGTTTTGCTTCATAACAGTTATTTTGTGTAAATACATCCCTCTCCCTTCCTTCCATTTTGTCCTTTTTACTTGGTTCTGTATTGAGACCCTGTAAAGCTTCTATATCAAACTAGAGGCCCGGTGCACAAAAATTTGTGCACTTGGGGGAGGAGGGGGGCCCCTCAACCCGGCCTGTGCCCTCTCGCAGTCTGGGCCCCCTCAGGAGATAACGACCTGCTGGCTTAGGCCTGCTCCCGGGTGGCAGAGGGCAGGCCCAATCCCTAGGTGCAGCCCCTGGTTGGGCTCAGAGCAGGGCCGATTGGGGAGTTGGGGCACCGCCCCCTGTCATACACAGAGCAGGGTGATCGGGAGGTTGTGATTCCACCCTCAGCCACGCTCAGGGTAGGGCCGATTGGGGGGTTGGGGCACCATCCCCTGTCACACTCAAGGCAGGGTCGATGGGGAGGTTGCGGCGCCACCCCCTATCATGCACAGAGCAGGGCCAATCAGGGGGTTGGGGCATTTCCCCCTGTCACTCACAGAGCAGGGCCCATCAGGGTGTTTGGGCGCTGCCCCCTGTCATGCTGATCCCGGTGCCGGGAGGCCTCGCGGCTCCTCTGATCCCGGTGCTGGGAGGCATATTACCCTTTTACTATATAGGACAGAGGCCTGGTGCACGGGTGGGGCTGGCTGGTTTGCCCTGAAGGGTGTCCTGGATCAGGGTGGGGGTCCCCACTGGGGTGCCTGGCCAGCCTGGGTGAGGGGATGATGGCTGTTTGCAGCTGGTCACAAACCCTTCAGGGTGGGGGTCCCCACTGGGGTGCCTGGCCAGTCTGGGTGAGGAGCTGAGGGCTGTTTTCAGGCTGGTGGGTGACTGAAGCTCCCAACCGCTCCTTTTTTTCTTTATTTTTCTTTTTTTTATTCTGGGCCAGCTTTAGCTTTGAGGCTTGGCTCCAGCTCTTAGGCCTCCACTGCTGAAAGTAGGTTTCTGGCCTTTGCTTACAATGTTGCGATCCTGCTGGAAACCCGGCAGGTTTCTGGGGTTTTGTTTAGCTTCTATGTTTGTTACATAGTTGCTTGCAGCTCAGAGGCCTGCAGCGGCAGGCAGCAGGTGGGGAACGTTGGAGTCCTCCGTCACTGAAGCAAGCAAGCCTCATGTTAGTTTCAAGCTGCCTGGCTGCCGGCCGCCATCTTGGCTGGCAGTTAATTTGCATATTGCCCTGATTAGCCAATGGGAAGGGTAGCAGTCGTACGCCAATTACCATGTTTCTCTTTTATTATCTAGGACTAGAGGCCTGGTGCACAACATTTGTGCACTGGGGCAGGGCATGCCTCAGCCCAGCCTGCACTGTCTCGCAGTCCGGGAGCCCTCGGGGGATGTCCGACTCCCCGCAAGCCTAAGCCATCAGTCAGACATCCTCAGTGCTGCTGTGGAGAGGCTCCTCCCACCACCTCTGCACTCGCTCACCAGCCATGAGCCCAGCTTCTGGCTGAGCAGCGCTCCCCCGTGGGAGCGCACTGACCACCGGGAGGCAGCTCTTGTGTTGAGCATCTGCCCCCTGGTGGTCAGTGCGCATCATAGTGACCAGTCGTTCCGCCGTTGGATCAATTTGCATATGACTCTTTTATTATATAGGATATGTAAGAGAAGAAATGCCTTTTCTGAAAGATGAGAATTTTTTAGAATGTTGAGAATTTCACTGACTGAATTCCACTGCACTGGAGCTAAGGTGGGTGTGGCCACCAGGGTGTGCATGACTGAGGGGAGGTGGCCGCACTTACAGCCCAGCATGGACACCAGCGTGTGCATGACTGAGGGGAGGTGGCTGCACTTACAGCCCAGCATGGACACCAGCGTGTGCATGACTGAGGGATGGTGGCCTCCCTCACAGCTGACGTGGACACCAGGGTGTGCATGACTGAGGGGAGATGGCCACACTTACAGCCCAGCATGGACACCAGGGTGTGCATGACTGGGGGGGTGGCCTCCCTCACAGCTGACGTGGACACCAGGGTGTGCATGACTGGGGGGGTGGCCTCCCTCACAGCTGGAGTGGACACCAGGGTGTGCATGACTGAGGGGAGATGGCCACACTTACAGCCCAGCATGGACACCAGGGTGTGCATGACTGAGGGATGGTGGCCTCCCTCACAGCTGGCGTGGACACCAGGGTGTGCATGACTGGGGGGGTGGCCGCACTTACCGCCCGACGTGGACACGAGGGTCAGCAGGCTGTGCACGGTCTCCATGAGGTCGTGCTGCTGCTTCTGCAGGACGGAGTTGTTCACCGTCGCCGTCACCAGCTGCTTCTCGAGCTCCTCGATGATGGAGTTCTGCTTGGACACCAGCACCTGCAGCTGGTCCTTCTCCTCCTTCATGGACTGGAGCTGCACTGTGTGCTTGCCTTCCATGTCGAGCACTTTCTTCTCCAGGACGCTGGGGAGGGGAAGCGAGTCAGGGATGCAGGTGCTCCGCGCCCCACAGCCCAGGCCGTGCCGTCGCTCACTCCCATAACTCGCCCAGGGGCTCATGTCCTTGGAGTTCCTGCTTCTCCAGGGCACGTTAACATGTCAGAGGAGCCGGCCCGCGTGGCTCCGTGGTTGGGCATCGACCTGTGAACCAGGAGGTCACAGTGCGATTCCCCGTCAGGGCACAGGCCTGGATCGCGGGCTTGATCCCCAGCAGGGGCATGCAGGAGGCAGCGATCACTGATTCTCTCTCATCAGTGATGTCTCTCTCTCTCCCTTCCTCTCTGAAATCAATAAACATAGCTTTTAAAGATGTCAGAGCAAGCAGTTGCACGGTGATGTGGCCGCAGCCCTGAGGGAGCTCTCAGGCCGCTCTGGGGGCAGCAGGTGGCCATGCCGTCCCTCTGGAGGGACTTGAGGAGGACATGTCCTAGTGAGAACGTCAGGGCTGCGGCAGGTTATCTGTCCCAGGATGTCTGTGGTAGGAACGCTGGCAACCACGGCCTCGCGGAGAGGAGCGTGGACCATGCAGAGGTGCCTCAGCATTGGGAGCGCAGGTGGGCGGGGCCGTGGGAAGAGCAGGCTGAGCCCCCCCTCCTCACATGACCTCGCATGTTACCTGGGCAGGCCTTGCGCTCTCTGGCTCTCAGTGAATGCCCTGCCTATCACAGTGACGTTATAAACGAAGGCACGAGGTGCGTGGCCTCAGAGGCCCTTCTGCTCTGTGGTCTGACTCGGTTGCGCTTCTTTGGGGCAGTATATCTCCATCTTACCCCGGTGGACATTACTCAGCCACGGAACCGGCCACCCAGTAAAGCCTTCACCGTGAGCGTGAGCATTCAGCATGAACAGTTACCATCAGACACTCAGTTGTATCTGGTAGCTGCACCCAGCCCTCGGTCCCTGGGAATCGGGACAGTAGCTCCTGTCAGCGCCTCGCCGGCAAGTAGCCCGTTTCTCCACGCGGTCACGTGCACTCGACGTGCACCGTTTCCCATATCCTTCTCAGTGGCCATTCCTGAACAGGTTCCTTGATATCAGCCAAGTCACTTTCAGTTGTACGTCACCATCATTAATTAAAAACCAAGGTGACTCACCACAGCAGAAGGTAACAAGGATAAATGCGCAAAGCGTCAGCGTTCTGCCGGACGTCATTGCCAGCGCCCCCGGGCTCCAGCTTTGGAGCCACTCCTGCGGGCACTCCGTCCTGCCTCTGCCGCCCGCACACTGTTCCACGGGGGCGTGAGAGATGGGGTCACGTGGCCCAGAGCGTGAGTGGATGTGGGGACACGCGGGCAGGAGTTTTCTCAAGAAATGAGTTTATTTCTCCCCGACTGGACCAGCATAGCTGCAGAGGCTGCCGCATGCTGATCTCAAAGGCCTCCTCTCGAAGGCAGGAGCCACGCCAGGCTCGGTCCTCCCCGACCAGAGGACAGCCTGGCCGGCCGCCCCGGAGTGCGGGCACAGATGCCCCCAGCGCTCCAGGCCGCTCGTCCTAGTCAGAGCAGCGCTGCACGTGCAGGGCGGGGCCCAGCGCTGGCCGAGACCTCAGCTCAGGGAGCCGCACCCGGCACTTTCAATGAAAGGAATCAACACAGTGGCCCTTGGACAGCACGGGTCTGAACTGCGGGTCCGCCTGTGCGTGGACTTTTTCCAGTAAGGGCCTGTGGTGTTTAAGCCTCAGTTCGCGCACACTGGCTGAGCATCACTGGGAAAGCAGAGTTGATTGGGGGATGGGAAGCATGTTTGCGAAAAAGTGTGGCAGAGTGTGGAGGGCCCTGTAAACCAGATGAGTCAGAAGGCAGGGCCAGCCGGTCCATACGTGGTAAAGCGTCACACACAGTCCCACCCACCAGGGCGGCTGAAGGAGTGGAGTCGTGGTCACGTTTGAAGCCACTCCCGCTGTTTCAGGCCGCAGGTGCAGGGCTAGGGGTGTCTGAGCTCGGGAGCCGGGTCCCACGTCTGTGGGGAAAGGGCAGTAAGACTGGACAGACCTTTCCCCGGATGGCAGCGGAGTAACGTGCCCGCGGGTGCTAGCACGGCGTCGTGAATGCGACAGAGCGGGACAGTGTCCGCTGCTCGGTGTGTCAGCAAGCTGGCCAGGGCTCGTCGGCGAGTGACCGTGCCGCCGTCCGGCCCCGCCCGCCCAGCAGGACCGCGCGGCACAGCCTGTGAAGAGGCCTCAGCACGATGCGCCGAGAGACGCTGCGGCTCAGTTATGGGTCTCGCGCGTGTTTCCCGCTTTGCAGAAGCGGAAGTTTGAAACATTAAAGACGAACACTTGGACTAAACATGGACTCGCTTTTCCAAAGTAGACGTTTTTGTGCTTTCTTACCTGTTCTTGTCCTGCAGCTTGCTGATCTCACTGGTCTGGTCCAGGATCTGTTTCTCCAGCTTGTTGGTGGACAGGGAATGTTCCAGGAGCTGGAGCTCGAGTCTCGTCGTCTGGTTCAGCACCTGCGTGCGACACAGCAGACTCGCGCTGGTCAGCTTCCCCGTGGGACACGGGGCCCCCTGGAGGGGACAAGCCCTAGAGCGGCGCTCACCCCGGGCCTTCCTGGGGTCAGAGGCTTGGCTGCCTGGTGACGTCAGGGGGTGTGGGAAGGCCCTGTTGCCTGGCCTTTATTGGGAGAGTTTCCCAGGTCTGGACAGTGGTGTTTGTGTCACGTAACAAAGCGCTGGTTTCCTGGTCCTGCGTGCTTGCCGTGTACGGTGAGGCGGTGGGTGTGAAACGCTCACACCGAATGGCGGGACTGGTGGTGACTGCAAAGGCCCTGCCTCCCCTCTGTCCGCAGCCAACCTGGTGGACGCCACCTGCTCCCCTCGACACATAGAGCTCTTTTCCCAGCGTTTCCTTGTCGCTGGTCTCGCGGTTGGCATTTTCTGCCTCCTCCATTTCTTTTCCTACACCTGGCATCAGCTGGTCAAGAGACAGCCCACGTGGGAAGGCGGAGCCCGGCTCTTCGGGGGGCCTCTGGCAGGGCCACATGCACTGTCGTGGCCCCCACCGCGTTCCAGCACCGAGGACGCCTTCTTCCGCGTTTGGCTGCCTTGCGGCAGGAAGCATCCATTGCTCACATCCCGCATGGGTGGCCTTACAGGATGAGCGGTCTCGTGGGAGCTGGGGCAGAGTGGCTGCCCAGGAACCAGGGTCCTTGACTGAGGGAAGCATTGTTTGCTCGGCGCCCATGACATTCACAAAAGGCTCGCCCGGCCGTGGGCAGGGCAGGGCCGGGCCCACTCCTCGGCAACTGCAGGCCCTGGCCAGCTGGGGCGGGGCTTGAACACACACTTTCCCTGTGGCCCCAGCATCCTGCGTGGGCTCTGGCTCGGAGGGAGTGGAAAGTCCGGGGCCCCAGAGAGGACGTGGGGAGTGCGGAGGGCGGCGTGTGGGTCCCTTCTCGCCCGGCACCCAGCGCAGTGCCTCATCGCCTACGTGGCCTCCAGCTGCGGGTGCCTGTCCGTCACTGAGTCTCCAGGACCCCAGGCCCCGCTGCCCCTCGGCCCAGCTGTCGTCTCACAGGCTCGAGGAGTCACGCTTTGTACAGCAACGTCCATGCTTGGACTCAGCCCTGCCTCGCACGGTCACTGCTGGCGACACAGTGCAGCCGTGTGGCCCCGGCTCGGGCCGCGTTCTCACGTGTCCACTCGAACACTCCGTCCCCGTGTTCCAGCGGGGTTCTGTGACATGTGGCTTCACAGCAGATGTTTAGAAACCCTGGGCCCAACCACAAAAGGCTTGTGAAGAGCCGGCAGGTCTTGCACAGGATGTAGGAAGGTGTGCGTCCTGGCTGCCTCTGCCACTTCCATTGCTGTCGCCTGGGAGCACAGGAAGCAGCTTCCGGGCACATGGGGGCGAGCCCACACCCGCCAGCCTTCCCTCGGAAGCAGGCAGCGTGGCTTCGTCACAACCACTTACTGTAATAACGGGCTGGGGATCCTGACACTTTCCCTTTAAACGTTTTACACATTTTCATTCTTACCTTTTATCACCTCTTTGGATTACAGTTTTTGGTCCCTTGTGATCCATCGTGTAAATCCTATTTTTCCTAAACTGTTCAATAAGGTGGAAAGGTTAGGTGAGCGGGTCCCTTCTTGCTGTCCTCACACGAGCTGACGTGGGCTTCTCCCACCGCCTGCTGTGTCCTTTCCCCTCTCTCCCAGTTGCCAGGGAGACAGGAGACTCCTGCCTCAGAGCTCAGAGCTCGGCCCAGCTCAGGGGAGGGAAGCTCCTACCTGCTGGCCGGCCCTTGAGCTGAGGCGGCCACTCCCCTGGGAACTGCGCGGGACTTGCCTGCACTAGGACTGCTGCTCCTTGAGCATCACGGTCCTCAGAGCAGGGAGGTGCTCGCCCAGCGGAGCGGCCCGGGAGCTGGGAGCACTCGCGGGAGAGGCTGGGGGGGGGGGGGGGGCGTTCTTCCAGCAGCACTTCCCCCGCACTCACCTGCTGTCCTGTGTGCGCCGCTAGCAGCTCCATGAATTTTGTTTTGCTGTTTTGCAGTTACTCTTTTAATATTTTCATGTTTCATGGTCTTTTCTACTATTAACCATTAACTCATAGACTGTTAAAGCTGAAAGGGACTTAGTCACTCCTGTGGCCCTGCCTCATCCGTAGCCACGCGGCTGAGGTCCCGGAGCCCAGGGCCTCGCTCAGCTGTTACCCAGCCACGCGGAGGCGGGACCATCAGAGCCTGGCTCCCGGCGGGAGTGAGCCCCCTGTGCCTGCTCCCTCTGTCTGTCTGTGCTCCCCTCTGTCTGTCTGCCTCTCTGTGCCGCCTGCTCCCTCTGTCTGCCTCTCTGTGCTCCCTCTGCCTCTCTGTGCTCCCTCTGTCTGTCTGCCTCTCTGTGCTCCCTCTGCCTCTCTGTGCTCCCTCTGTCTGTCTGCCTCTCTGTGCTCCCTCTGCCTCTCTGTGCTCCCTCTGTCTGTCTGCCTCTCTGTGCTCCCTCTGCCTCTCTTTGCTCCCTCTGTCTGTCTGCCTCTCTGTGCTCCCTCTGCCTCTCTGTGCTCCCTCTGTCTGTCTGCCTCTCTGTGCTCCCTCTGCCTCTCTGTGCTCCCTCTGTCTGTCTGCCTCTGTGTGCTCCCTCTGTCTGCCTCTCTGTGCTCCCTCTGTCTGTCTGCCTCTGTGTGCTCCCTCTGTCTGCCTCTCTGTGCTCTCTCTGCCTCTCTGTGCTCTCTCTGCCTCTCTGTGCTCCCTCTGTCTGTCTGCCTCTCTGTGCTCCCTCTGCCTCTCTGTGCTCCCTCTGTCTGTCTGCCTCTGTGTGCTCCCTCTGTCTGCCTCTCTGTGCTCCCTCTGTCTGTCTGCCTCTCTGTGCTCCCTCTGTCTGCCTCTCTGTGCTCCCTCTGCCTCTCTTTGCTCCCTCTGTCTGTCTGCCTCTCTGTGCTCCCTCTGCCTCTCTGTGCTCCCTCTGTCTGTCTGCCTCTCTGTGCTCCCTCTGCCTCTCTTTGCTCCCTCTGTCTGTCTGCCTCTCTGTGCTCCCTCTGCCTCTCTGTGCTCCCTCTGCCTCTCTGTGCTCCCTCTGCCTCTCTTTGCTCCCTCTGTCTGTCTGCCTCTCTGTGCTCCCTCTGCCTCTCTGTGCTCCCTCTGTCTGTCTGCCTCTCTGTGTTCCCTCTGCCTCTCTTTGCTCCCTCTGTCTGTCTGCCTCTGTGTGCTCCCTCTGTCTGCCTCTCTGTGCTCTCTCTGCCTCTCTGTGCTCCCTCTGTCTGTCTGCCTCTCTGTGCTCCCTCTGTCTGTCTGCCTCTGTGTGCTCCCTCTGTCTGCCTCTCTGTGCTCTCTCTGCCTCTCTGTGCTCTCTCTGCCTCTCTGTGCTCCCTCTGTCTGTCTGCCTCTCTGTGCTCCCTCTGTCTGTCTGCCTCTCTGTGCTCCCTCTGTCTGTCTGCCTCTCTGTGCTCCCTCTGTCTCTCTGCCTCTCTGTGTCTCCTGCTCCCCTCTGTCTGTCTGCCTCTCTGTGCTCCCTGCTTCCCCATCTGCCTCTCTGTCGAGTCAGACGGTGACTGTATGAACCTGTAGGACAGATGGTGTAGACTCGCACGAGGAATGGCACAGGCTTGTACCGCAGACCGTTGGGACGGCCCCTGAGATCAGCTAGGAGAGCGGTTCCTGGCCTCTGCCTGGGGCCTCGTTCTCTGCACGAGCAGCTCAGGGCTCGGAGGAAGAGACCTCGAGAGTCCAGAGGCACATGAGGCAGACGCACGTGTGAGGGGCCGGAACAGGACGAGGGCCTTGAGCAGAGGCACATGAGCAGACGCCCTTCACCCTCAGCCCTGACCGTGAGGCTGCGTGTCCTGATGTCACTCCTGTCTAGCGCGAGTCCTGCCCTTCCCGCGTCCTCCCGTCCTCCCGGCCTCCCCTCGCCCACTGTGCTTCCTGGCCGCGTGCGCTGTCGGCTGTCGGCCGTCGCCGGGTGGGCTGCCTGCCCGCACACTCACCTGGGCCTCCACGTCCGTCAGCTTGCGCGTCTGCGCCGCGGTCTGGTTGAGGAGGCTGGAGCCCATCTCCATCATGGCGGCCGTGTGGTTGTGCGCGGCGCTCTGCTGCAGCGCGGCCACGCCCCTGCGCATGCTGTCCTGGATGTAGCTCTCCAGCTGCGGGCACGGCATGGAGGGGGGGCATTAGTCAGGCGGAACCTCAGCCGCCAGCAGTCAGATAGGAGGCATCACGTGTGCAGAGGAGGCCACCTGGGTGTCCGCCCCGCGACAGGCAGAGGGAGCGAGGCCGCACTGGGGCGCACAGTTGCGGGGTGTCCGGGAGGGACCCCAGGGTTGCCCTGCCACGCCCTGGCGCTGGGTCCCTGTGCTGTAGGGAATGGAAAGTTGGTCCTGAGAAGCGTTGTGTGCGCCTCATTCTAGATGTGTTTCCCAGAATGCAGTGTAGATGACGCGGACGGAGCAGGGGAGGCCGCCTTCGGACTTGCCCAGACTGTCAGGACCGCCCCCCCATTCTGAGCCCTCCCCCTTACTGAATTCATCACACATTAGGTTGCTCAGGTTTTTCAGCTGGGGTGGACGGCCAGCCCCATCCCAGGGCTCTGTCTGCTGCTCGCCTCCCCTGCCTGAGTCGCCATGAGGGTGCACACTCGTTTCCCTCCCGTGGGTGTGGGTGTGGGTGTGGGGAGCTGGCCCGGCTGACGAGTGACATAGGGAACTGTCCACGCAGGACAGCGGGTGGCAGGCCATGCGGTCGGGCATGGGCGCCTGCTCCCCACGCTGCAACCTTTGATCAGGAGCTGGCTGACCTTCAGGCCCCAGGTCCTCATATAGAAAGTCATGTTTCTGATGGGCCAGAGGCCTGTGTTCAGGATTCATTGACAGGGTGGTTAGACGGTGTGTAGTTCACAAAATGACCCCTATAGCAGGACTGGTGCCCACCTGGCACTGTGCCTGGTTGTTCCCGTGTCATTGACAAGTCCCTGTGCTGTGCTGACCTCCCCTCGACGTCCGAAACCCCCATCTGTGCTGCTCACTGCCTCACCTTCCCCTCTCGGTGCTGCCCCAGCCATCAGTCTGCCCTGTGTCTCTGAGTCTGTTTCTGTTTGGTTTGTTTATTTTTTTCTTTAGATTCCACATCTGAGTGAAACCATCTGGTATGTGTCTGTCTGACTTATCTCGCTCAGCACAACACCCTCTAGGTCCCCCCACACTGTTGCGAAGGGTAAGATTCCGTTCCTTTATATGGCGGATTAAGGTTCCATGTGTGTCTGTGCCACAGCCTGGCATCCCTCCCACGCCCATGGGCACTAGGCTGCCCCATAGAGCTAAGCTGTGCTGTGAAAGTCGGCGTGCGCATAACTCAGGCACTTGAAGTTCAATTTCCTTCTTCTTTTTCTGTAATGACTAGTGACGGAGCCACAGTTCCACTCCTTGGTCCAAACTGTCAGATCATGAGGACAGAAGCCCTGTTTTCATCTTCTTATCACGTAATTACAGCTCAAATACTTTCTATTAAGTTGAATGAATAAAATTTGATCACAAAACTGCTTATCGTGCCTTTCTCTCCTAGTAAAACCACAGAGAATCCTTTCACTAGACAGTCCCGGGCCAGGGGTCCTCCTCCTGGTGCCTGCCTGTCCCTGCGCCTGCCTGAGGGTACAGGTGGGGGCGCCCATCCCTCCCTCCATGCACCTGCCTGAGGGTACAGGTGGGCAGGCAGGAGCTCCTCCTGGAGTTCAAGGGCGGTCATCGGTGCGAGTTGTAAACTGTGACTCCGGTGGCCTTAGGAGGTCTTAGGATGCTCCCTGGAGCTGTACCTCCTGGCTCCCTTGGCTGGCTCACCATGCACTGTTCCCACTCCCGGAGCTATGCACGCGCGCGCGCGCGCGCGCACACACACACACACATCTGGATGCTTCCTGGTCGCCCCCGGCTCCCCCTGGGCCGCTGGGCAGATCCCAGGGCGTGAACCTGACCAACACTGGGCTCTGACCATTTGTAAACCTTGCTGAGGCCTGGGCTTCTCCATGTGAGTGAAATAGACTAGACCGGCATGAGCATATCAGGCACTCTTCCTGGGCAGCCCCACAAACCCTCTCACGGGCCTCACCAAGGCCCAGAGCAGCGCCTGCCGCCCTGATGACCGCCGGCTTTCGGTGGCGAGCTCTTTCCTGGTGCGTCCTGGCCTCCCCGCTTCACAAACGTCCATGGTTTGATGCCCAACTTAAGGGAACTTCACATGGCAGTTTGTCATTCCCCTCCCGCCCACGCTCACCTCGCTCTTCACCGTGGGAATAGTGGGGTTTTTGAGGGTGAAGTTAGGGCGATATAAGTCATCCAGAGAAGCCATCTTGGTTACTCCAACACCCTGCAAAGTCGTATTTAGAAAGCCTTCTCCTGGGAAGTTTGGAGCTCGGGGAGGCATGCTGGCGGGAGTTTGGGTCACGCCTGTGCTCCGAGGAATGGTCTGCCAGCTCAGAGAGATAAAGGGCCTCATCTTACTGAGTCGCCCTGAGGAGCGAGATAAGGGCTGTTCCTTCCCTGTCCCTGTGTGTGTGGCCAGAGGGGACGGAGCTCTGTAGCCCTCCCAGCCCCACTCTGCAGCTGCTGGGTCAGCTGTGTCTGCACCTCGAGAGTCACGATGTCAGCACACGTTAGACTCAGGAGCTTTAAAAGACAGTAAAGACCTAATTTTAAAAATGAAATTTCTTAGCGTTGTTGCCATCACTTTGTCTAAGTTTGAAAATGATAGAATGCAAAACTCTTTTTAACCCAACTGCTTTTCAACTTTTCAGGATGACAAAGTGTATGTATAGTGTGTGTGTGTGTGTGTGTGTGTGTGTGTGTGTGCGCGCGCGCTCGTGTATATGGGTCCTCTTACATTGAAGCAAATTACAGATGTGTGTACATGTGACGTGTGTACATGGGACGTGTGTGTACATCTGATGTGTGAGTGGATGTCATATATATGTATAGTCTCCGTATACAATGTATGCAGCAAAAGGAAGTGGAATTCGCCCTGCACTGGCCCAGCTGCTAACTAGCCTTGGGAGAAAGAGACCAGATACAGAAACGTCAGGTATGAGACATTTTGTGTTGATTCTCAGAAAGACTCCTGTCCTCGCCCTTGAAGCCATGAGATTAATGACGGTGTAGGAGACGGGGGTGATGTGCGGGGAGAGCTCTCTAGAAGGAAGAGGCAGTGACAGCCGCAGTGACTGCGGTTCCAGTTTGTTGATTCCTCCCGCGTCTCAGCCACCAGGACTCCGGGTGCCTGGCATCGCGGGTGAGCACTCTGAGGGCTGGCATGTCAGCAAACAGGAGCTTTGCCCACCAGCCACCCCACGATTTTCCTGCCTTTCAGCACCTTTCTGGGTGGCCTGTCCCCAGGCTGGCGTGAGTGTGCCATCCACAGCCCGGAGTGGCAGCCTTGAAAGCCAGCGACCACCTACCCTGCTGTCGGCAGGTGGGGCCATGTTACCAGCAGAGAAGCCTGGAGTCCATGACCGCCTCCCGTCTCCTGGGAGCTTCTTGACAAAGGCATCCGTTTCCCTCCCAAGATGAGCAGTAAATTTTTAGAGGGGACTCCCCTCCACAGGCTGCGCCCACGAGGTGCGTCATTCTCCGCCCGTTCCCCCCCCCCCCCCCCCCCCGCACACCCCGGGGCTGGAGGCCGAGCCCTGGGCGCCTGCCTGACCCCGTCTGCTGGTCGCTCCCCCTGAGGGAGGGGCACCGGGACCAGTGCATTCCCTCCCAGTTTATGGCCCTGAAGTGCCTTTCTGTGTAGTTCCTGGTTTTTACTGTCCACAAGGGAACCCACACATAGAGCCCCGCCCTCGAAATGCCAGGCTGGCGCGAGGAGGGACGCAGCGAGCGGAGGCACAGGAGCCCCCAGGCAGAGCCCCCTGGCCTTTCCTGCCGCTGCTCTTGTCAGAACAGCGGAGAGCCCGAGCCCCAGGGAGGGCGGCTCGCCAGGCGCTTGGGGAATGGCGGACCCTCCTGTCTGCAGTGACGAGGCCCAGTGCCGAGCAGGTCCCAGTCCCTCTGAGGCCCCGGGCGCGTCTGAGGGGCCGTGGGGACGTCACTCTGTCCTCTGGGAATTGGTGCCGCGTCCCCTCCCCAGGACGCGGGCGAGCGGCCCGCATGCCGTGGGCGCGTTGAGGCGACTGTCCCTTCGGTTGTGCTGGTGCTGCTGCCTGTCCTTGTCATTTGCTAAAAGGAGCAGTTGTGCCTCAGACACAGTCTTTGCGAGTTGGCACCACATGAAGCTCCAGGGACAGAACAAAATGCCTTAACACAGACGTCTGTCCTGGGCGAGAAGCCGTCCTGACGGGCCGCGCCCCCCCGCCCTCCTGCGTCTGCAGTGACCGTTTGCGAGGCAGCGGGCAGATGGAGTGCACGTGGAAGTCATTCCCTTGCGCTCTCCTCACCGAGATCCTCGCCTTCGTTTTTCTACCAAAAGGAAAGTGATCTGGAAACTGGGGAAAGGAAGACCGTTCACAAAGGCCCCCGGTTCGAGGCTCGGATGTGGGTCCCTCACCGACCACCAGGTCCTTGCTGCCAGGCGTGTCCCTGACGTTACTTAACCAGTTAACTGCCTGACATTTAGAATTTAATTTAAAAAGTCCACCACTTGCCTCTCTGCAGCAGCTCTCAACCTGTGGGTCACGACCCCTTTGGCGGTCGAACGGCCCTTTCACAGGGGTCGCCTAAGACCATCCTGCGTATCAGACATTTACATGACGATCATAACAGTAGCAGCATTACAGTGATGAAGTAGCAACGAAAATAACGTTATGGTTGGGTCACAACAGGAGGAACTGTATCTAAAGGGCCAGGAGGTTGAGAACCACTGCTCTATAGAGCTTGTGTCTCTGCTCACCTGGGCGCCTTAGTTCCTAGTGAACTGACAGATACCTGTGGTTTCATTGGCAGCATTTTACCCTCCAGCTTTGCAACTTAGAGACGCTTGATTCTTCTCCCTAGCAGCCCCGACTCACTCCCTGCTTCCTCAGACGCCGCCACCCGTCCTTCCGGACTCTCACGCAGCCCACCGGGTGCTGCGGGCTCCGTGCAGGCCTGACCTTGGGCAGCTCAGGCGCGGCCTGGCCCTTAGCCTTGCCCCTTAGTCTGCAGGCGGCATGCAGGCTCCCTGGAGGGCCACACCCCTCCCGCTCCGGGACCGGCCTTGTCTCCGTGCCTCCGGCCGCATCTGGCCCTGGGCCACTTCCCTCTCTGGCCTTGGCCTGTGGCTCCTCTGCCTGGTCCTCTCTCCTGAGATGACCCCCACGACCTGTGTGGCATCGAGACACCGGAATCGTCCTGGGCTGGTCCCACGGTTCCACCTCCTGGAACTCGAGGCGTGTGCTCGCTTGCTACCTCCTGGAACTCGAGGCGTGTGCTCGCTTGCTGGGAGGCGGCAGCCCTGGGGGCTTTCTGCAGGCACGGAGCTGGCAGGAGCAGAGCACGGGCCCTTGTGGCTTGTTGGAAAACCTGAATCAGGCATCTTCTGTTTGGAAGGCTTGTCACCTGATGTTCCTGGTTCCCTGTCATGAGCTCTTCAGACAGAACAGTGGCAAAGCTGGGCTTTCCTCGTCCTTGCGAAGTTTCTTATTCTCGTGGGAGGTGTCCCAGCCTCGCAGGCCTGAGTCCTGTGCCTGGTGACTGATTCTGGCCCCTCTCCCTCGGGCAGGCGGGCTGCAGGGTGTGGTCATAGCCAGCCGCCCCCCACCCTCCCACCCCCACCCCCGTCCCCGTCCCCATCCCCGTCCCCTGCTGCATGGACCCGCCGCTCGGGCTCTAGGAGCACCTCCTGGGACTGATCGGCTCTGAGTGCTTCTCGCTGTTTTCTGCGAGGAACAGGGGACGACTTCCCGCTGACACTGCTGGGAGCCCTTCCTGCGTTCACTGCTCTGCCGGGACTGAAGGTCACGCTGGTGACCTTGAGCTCAAGGGCATGAGGAGCAGAGCTGCGGGCACCAGTGGGGCCTCGTCGCTAGTCTGTCCCCTCCTCCTGTGCAGATAACGGGTAACATGGCTTAGTGTCCCTGTGCTCCAGTGTCACATACGCGTCCTCGCTTCTACCTGAGACTCCGTGGTCGTTTTTGTGACATAATTGGGGTTAATGACACGCACTCACCATCAGTGGCTTTGCCTCTTCGTATGTTTCCCTCACCATCAGTCCAAAGTCTGAGGGAAAATGTAATTTCCCCTTAAAATGTTGTGCTCGTTTCCTGCCGATGAAATGACTATTTTTCCCTTTAAAACCTATGCAAGTTGGAGGAGCCGCGTGTGGCAAACGTGTTGTGTGTCAGGCACGAAAGCTGTAGAGGCTCCTGGGTCCGTGAACATGGACCCGAGCCTCTGCTCCCTGCCGCCCGCTAGGCTCGGCCACAGCCCCTCACGGCGGGCAGGCCGGGGCAGGCGGGACAGCGATGCCCCAGGCCCCGTGTGTGCAGCTTCTGCGAGAACAGTGAGACCCGCTTGCAGTTGCCGATGCCACGTGTGTATCCATCTCAGACTCGCACGGCCTTCGCATGGGTTTCCCCCAGCAGAGCCCGAGACACAGGCCACATGCAGGAAGTTTATTTAGGACGCGGTCCCAGGAGCCGCGGACAGGCCGGGAGGCGGCAGCGGGGCCACGTGGTGACCAGGGGAGCCCCCGGCTGCGTCTGAGGAGCCGCCCACCTGGCACAGAGAACTCCATCCCTCTGGGCCAGGGCAGTCCTGGGCACCACCCGCCACACTCAGGGGTTCCCACCAGGCCCCCAGGCGCTGGGGTCGGCTGCATAGCTGGGCAGGAGCAGCTGCCCTCCACGTGCTGCTGGAGCCGCCGGGCCTGTCCATGCGGAGTGCCTGGGGGTGGGGAGGGATTGAAAGGATGCGCGTCCCCCCAGAGGCCCTGAGACAGAGCAGGGCCTTGGGACAGATGGCCCCGCAGCGTGGGGTCTGTGGGTAGAGCTCCCTCAGCAGCCTGGTGCCCTGGCTGACCACTCGGACGGCCGGAGGAAGGACAGGCGGGGCTGAGACCGCGGAGGGGCCGTGTGTGAGGAGGTCAGCGCGAGCCCAACAGCCGCCGGCCAAAGCCACAGAGACTCACGCCTCTCTCTGCGGCCCCTGCGTGGGCTCTGCCCACCTTCGCCACGTCTGCTCCCTGGTGTATTCTCGCACCTTCTCAGCTGAGGAGACGCTGAGATGCGGTAAAGGGACCTAAACTCTCTCCATGAAGTGAACAGGATCATCGCTGGTGCAGAGGGGCGCGGCTGGGACGCAGCTCTGGGAAGAGGGGGATGAGTTCAGGCGACAATACTGGGCTTTCTTTTTTATTTAAATCCTCGCCTGAGGGTGTGTTTGTGTTGATTTGAGAGAGAGGAAGGGAGAGGGAGAGAGAAACATTAATGTGAGAGCGAAACATCGACCCGTTGCCTCCCGCATGCACCGGGGATCCAACCGCAACCCAGGTGTGTGCCCGACCGGAACCGAACCCGCACCTTCTGGTGCACGGACGACGCTGGGAGCTGAGCCACCGCCAGGGCCGGGCATGTCTTTTTAATGAAACTGAAGGTCTTGCCTCTGAGATCGAGGTGCCCGAGAGGAGACAGTAGACGTTTCAGTGTTTCTGTGGCAGACGGGCTGAAACGCGCCTTCAGAGGCATGCACGTTACACACACATGTGTCTCCCTGTGTGGACATGGATGCGAATATACCCCCCCCCTTCCAGTTCATGGGGGGCGGGGGGTGCTTTAGATTCAGTAAATCAGTAGCATCGCTGAGCTCGCATTTTGTGAATTAGGACCTAGGCCTGGGTCACCGTGAGAGCTCGTAGGAGAGTGAGAATGAACACGCAGCCGCCCCTGGGCCACGCCCAGCGCACCTGGACACCCCTGGCCGTGCGCGTGCTGAGCGAGCGCTCGTGCTGCCTCCTCGCCCTTCTCCGCCACCGGCTTCCCACCAAAGGTCGCTGTGTCTCTGCCTACACGGCGTGCGTTTGCCGAGTCCTGGTAGACGGCTGGCGGCACGGCGCTGCAGCCTCGAGAGCAGGCTCTTTTCCTTCTTTCACATGAAATGGTTACACGGCAGCGACTGGTGGGAAGGACAA